ATATAGCAATTGATCACCTCCAAACGCACACAAATATTGTTTGGAAAACATAACTTCTTTCAATGCTCTGTAGGACACTTACTATTTCACTTTCACAAATCATTCATATTATAACCAGTAATCGCCATAGAGCTAAATATAACAAATGATCGAATTACTGATTACTAATATTTAAAACACCACAACTTTCAGACTGGCCACTATCATAAAACATACATACATATATATACATATACATACATATATAAGTTCATAAAACTAACAAACTAGAACAAGCATATAGACAGTTATTGTGACAGCACGTGATCAAATGTAAATATTTCTTTTACAGCACCTTGGAGATATTGACATCACCAACATACAGTTTGCGAAGACTGACTCATTGAAGGATACTAAACGTCTTGGTTAAGAAATAAAGAAGTTTAGAAAAATCATCGGATTAGAAGTATCAAACCTTGATACTGTTTAACCTTAATTCACGTGCATACAATCTGGATACAGACTTCTAAGAATTACAAAGGTCACCAAGTAGTCACACATATGCATAGAGTACACAAACCCACTACAGAAATACTGACGTCATTATCGTCTACACTTCAAACAACCTAAGAAGAGAGGATGGTCACAGTCCGAAGTGTTTGATATTCAAGGCCACTGACCGTCTTGGTTAAGAAAACCATAAGATTAGTATGACCAAGTCTATTTTGCAATAACTGGCTAGCTAGTCCAAGGACCATAAATTATAAACCAAGTTTTTGGTAACATGAATTATACAAATCAGTGTTTGTCATATATTATTATACATACAAAACACCAGTTACTATGATCATTATACAGAATTAATAATAAACTCTACATAAGATTAGTATTCACTTTTGCAGATCACTAAATATATTAAATTAGACCGTAATTATACTACACAATACATTTAATAATGAACATATGTACATTATACTTTAATTACTGAAATTTAAAAGTTCTTTCCATAACGTTTAAATGGTTAATGTATTGCATTGTGTGTTTGTTTGTAATTATGCACAAAGCTACACAATTGGTTATCTGTGTTCTACCCACCATGGGTATCGAAACCCGGATTCTAGCGTTGTAAGCTCCGCAGACATACCGCTGTGCCACTGGGGGGGGGGGCAATTTATTAAATATTGTGTCCAAAAAACTATCAGAGTGTTTAAATCCACTTAGAATAATATGAAAAATCGATTCATCACGTGATCATGAACTGAAGTCAAGAGAGAGTTAAACATTGGTGTATTGTATGATTTTTAGTGTTAGTTATTACAGATAAAACTTCCATTTAAGCGTACGAAAAACGTTTATTAAAATAAAAGTCAATTATAATGCACTGTCACTATGTGTTTACAATATACTTAAAATAGATGGTTCACTGTAAATATGTTGTTATACATATCAGTTAAATACAATGTTTGTATTTAATTAAACTGTACGTTTCTAAAATGTCATTATAAACGACGAAACATCAATTATTGTATACCGTGCCTGACATACTGTCAGAATGTTTCAGTTGACTTAGAACAAAATGAAGATCGATTCTACTTAAACATGTGAGACTTTATTATCTCATGTTTCAAAACATTGTTGTTATATTTTAGACGAAGATTTCAAATACTGTATGTTGAGGTCTGTTTTGATTTATCTAACAGCAGCGATATGTTTATTTTACGATACTTTTTAAATCAAAGACAGTACAAAGGTTTTGTTTGTGTAAACACTTCCATCAGGAATTATTACACTGACAATCAATATCATAACAATTACCCATACACAGAACATACTAACTGTCTAAAATATATTGAGGAACACCAATCACCATGTTGGTATCCCCCTTTAAAAAAAAAACAATTTCACATGTATATATTACAAACTTCGCAATTGTCTTTGCTAAGATTAAAACTACACGAGTCATATTATTGAATTTAATTTTGGAGGGAGAATATTGAAGAAAAATGTTTAAACAGCTGATTCATGTTCACCATAATGCTCAATATAATAATATACAACTTACTGTTGAAATACAAAATATTCTACCTTTTCTTGGAATTTAGATTACTCTTACAGGGAACAGACATCTCTCTACTGAAATTTATTTTAACATATATTTTGACATTGATTGCATTGCTACTGTCAAGATAAGTTATTTGAACTGTAAGGTATGTTCTATATTATAATGCTTCCATATGCCAGCAATTTGGATACTCTCAAACATCTTGTGATGGTACTTTAATATGTGTACTCTTTGTGGTGACAAAAGCCACCATAGCTATGGGTGTCAACAGAATTCACATTGTGTTAACTGCAATGGCTTCTACCCCTCCTAGTTTTGTTCGTGCCTTAAATGGATGGAGGATAAGGAGGTACAGTGGTTAAGAACTGTTAACAACATTTCTTATCCCAAGGCATTGAAGTTGTTCTCTCTTTCCACTCGGACATATGGTACTACACTCCATTCCACTGTTACATTTGGAATGCAGATAGATCTTTGCATTCCTCTCATCAAGTTTTCTCTAGCCATGTAAATGGTTTTCTTCCTACCATGGATACACGAGTTGACAACTCTATGCTACTCCTATCCTTGTCTCTTCTATAGAACCCAGTAAATTCTTGTTACCATCTCCATCAGCCTCGAGGTCATTTGGTCATTCACTCTGACTGGGAAAAGATCTAAGGAAGTTGATTTATCTCTTTCTACTAAACACACATAAAAAAGTCCTCCACCTGGTTCTCCTGCTGCTTCTAAGAAACAATGGCCACTTTGATACAGTGGAACTGTTGAGGTTTCCATTCTAATTTAGATGACATTAAAACCTTGATTGGTTACTATCATCCTGCATGCCTGTCATTACTGGAGGTGATCCTGAAACCTGCTGATGCTGACACCTTTTGGTGGTTAACTTATACAAGAAAGAGACGATGTGTGAAAGACAGGTTCATGTGAGTGTGGCACTGCTGGTTGTCCATTATGCACCCACCAATATTGTGCACCACTGGAAGCTGATGTCATCCTTGACTCTATTAGTCATACCATCACAATTTGTTGCCTTTACCTGTTGCCGAGAGAGAATTACGACTAGGAAGATCTTGTCAAGCATTTTCCATCTCACCTCTTCATCCTGGGAGACTTTAATGGACACAATTATCTCTGGGTGGTGCTAGTCTTTGATGGAAGGAGTTTTTTTGGGAATGTGTGTTCTCAAATCACAACCTTTCTGTCTTCAATACTGGATCATATACATATTTTCATGCCTCTTGTTAGTTTTTTTATTGTCATACATCTATCCATTTGTTCTATTCTCTGCTTGTTTGTCTTGTAAGGTGGACAATGATCCACAGAGCAGTGATAATTTTCCCATCGCTCTGAGGGAGTTCAGTCACAGTCGATGTCATTCAACTTGTGGGCTATGATGAAGGCTGACTGCGTCTTCTTTGATACTCTCTATCAGAGCTTTATCTTGCTGAAATCAACCTCCCCACTATTAATTATTATGTGGAGGCAGTAGCTGATTGTATTGTTCAGGCAGCTGTTCGTATGATCCCCAAAACCTTGACACATTTGCCACAGTATCCTCACCTATGATAAGACACATGAGTGTCAATGGACATGGAAGGCTCAGATATAGGCCTAGGATATCTTCCACAGATATTACACTCTGCACAGCTGCATGAAACTTTCAGATTGATTGTGCCTATGCCCTACATGTCAAACATCAATGTCAGAAGGAATCTTGGGTTATGCTAGTTTCACTATACCTTTGACAAGGTGATTTGGGACATGTTTCAAAGGGTTAGTGGGAAGTTTCCTCCCATTTCCTTCCCAAAAAGTAATACCTACTAAAAACACTTAGGATTAATTGCTGTTTATAAGAACAATGTATTGCACTTGAAACTATGTGCCACATTTTCGATTGTACTGAGTCCGATGGTCATTAATACCCGAAACAGTTTTCATTGTAACTAGCTTCTGCAACTGATGATGAGATCAATGTTAGATCAGTTATTCTTTTAGTCAGTCCTCCCGTTATACGTGGCTATCAGCTTCCAAAAATTAATTTAATAGATAACGGGTACACAAGTCTCTTAGATCTGTATCGAAGGGCTTGATAAATATGGAGTCTGATGTCATTGCTGGGGTTCTACTTTCTTTGGCTATCTTTCTCTTTACAATTACCAATAATTTAAGGTATGGTTGGAAGCTTGTGAACCCTTTGCTTGTAATTCTTTGTCAATATCAAATACCTTTTTTATTCTCTAGTTAATGGTATCAGTGAAAATTTCCAAGTTAGTTGCAAAAATATTTTGCGTTGGAGAGTTCTTTTTTATAACCATAATCTTCAACAGGCGAATGAGATTATTGGCCTGAATTGGATTAAGGTGTGGTTTCAGAGCCTGCAGCTGTTTTAAATGCTTTAATAAGCAAGAGCTTCTACGGAGAACAACAAACGCTTTCTTTTTGGGCCATTCACATTTAAGAATTCTGCTAAATGATTATGAATATCTTACACACCAAGGACTTTTACATATCTTCCTGTCATAAGCTTCTCATGGTGGAATTACACATTGAATGGTCGAGTATTCGGTAATATGACAATTATTCTCAGAAAACATCATTAACAAATGTTATCATTTTGTTAGCTATATTTGGTTACATCAAATTAATATTTGGATGCTAACGAGTAACAAAATGTTCTTTAAAAATTGAGTTTATTTGCATATGTATATATTAACATTTAGGCTTAAATCATTTTGTGATAGGGCATGGCAAAGTGAAATAACGAATCCTACATTATTAAGACACATGGCAAAGTTTCATCAAACAATCTTATTGCAAGTAGTTGTTTTATAACCCTTTTAAATTAAACGTGTCTACAGCAACTAAGCTTCAGATGCTCAGGCACTCTGTATCGTCAGATAGATCAAGGTTGTAAAAACTGAATAAGTTACATACATATAAATGTAACATCATTTACCTGACACAAACTGAATAAGTTCTGCTGGCTCCACTTTACAACCTTGTTTCAACACTACATAGCCACGTGGAACTTCCTCCAAGGAAGAATCCACTATCCCAATTACAGCAGCGTCATCAACAGCAGGATGACTGCACAACAATGACTCAATTTCTGTTGGAGAAACTTGGTGGAATTCCGTCTTGATCATTTCTTTTATTCTGTCAGTAATATAAAGGTTTCCTTCCGAATCATAATATCCGTAATCCCCTATTGTAAATGGTAAAAAAATTATTAGTTTCTTGGTAATTATAAAAGTAAAGATACATGCTTTATTTTTGTTGTGATCACAAAAATCATCATTTCAATGTAAAGGTAATCATTGCTATTATTGACTTTGATTTAAAATATTGTAACTTTGAACTCTTCTGTTATGTTGAATGAGAAAGAAAAGTTAGAAAAGTTTTATAAAAATACTGTCTTTTAGGAAAATAATTATCAGAATTAAAATACAGACAACTACTTTGCTGTTTAGAGAAAATTAAGTTAACTTAAGGTTTAATTCATATCTATTCTAGATTTTATACGAAATGGTAGACAGCATATTATAATGTAAAAAGTTATCAATTAAATACTAATTAGTAGCTATGTTTCATCTTAATGAGTGCTACCAAAATCGATGAATACTTCATTTATATGCAAAATTATAGTTTTGAGTTTACTATATATGTTTCTAAATTATTTTTGATGAACCTGTGTATATTGCTAGTTTGGACACTGATTCATTATGTACAAATATACTTTTAAATGAAGTATAGAGTTATCAAGTATAGAGTTAAGTAGTAATTTAATATTCCAAAACGTGGAATATTAGAGGTATATCAAAACAATAAAAACAAATTGATGGAGTTTCCATGGGTTAAAGGATTGCAATATGTTTAGCTAATCTGTTTTTAAGTTATCATGAGAAAAAGTAGTTAAAATTTTCCTGAATAGTTTAAATCTTCGTATTACAGAAGATATGTAGAGGACACATTTGTTGTATTTAAAAATAAATTTGATAGATATTATTTTCAAAATTAATTAAATAGTAAACATGGTAATATTAAATGTATGGTTATGAACAAACTGCACCCACCTTACCTTTTTAGCCACTAAAATAGTTAATTTAGGTAAAAGTTTTGAAAGTAAATGTTCCCATGAATAAGCATTTGCTGAGTTATATTTTCATTTTCAAAGTTTTATACCATTTGAGTTTATAAAGAATTTAGTTTATATTTTAATACACTGGACTTATGAAAATGTCACTTGTTTTCTGGATTTCATGAAGAAGTGGTAAATTTTAAGAAGTTTTTACTTAAGAACAGTTTCCTTTACATTTGAGTGATGGTATTACTAAGAACACTTGGTACACTTCCAAAATTAATAAATGTAGAACTAAAGAAATAGTTTATTGTATTTTAACATATACAAGCAAACATGCTATCGAATTAAATAAAAAGGCTAAAGCTGTTTTGAATAATAAGGTTTATTCCCTAATTCAACTTAGAGTTGTTTTAAATCAATAGGATATTTCAGTAATTATTGTTAGTTTAAAGGATTAAAAAACTCATTGCTCTTATGTAATCTATATTTTTTATGTCCAAGATGTAACAATGGATACGTGGGCTCTACAATTAATTGATCCACAAAATACCCCATATAACCAGTCAGCCATGTTTTGCCAATGTTCACAAGACTGTGACTTCATTCCCACTACTGAAAATGTCAGCATATTGAGAAGTGAATTGAGTTTAAAAAATGATGAGAACGAAAGAAAGACTGAGGTTTCACAAAAAATTCTCAGGATTCATAGTTAAATTGCACTTATTTATAATCTGTATACATTTGTAACCTCCTTTTTTCTTCCACGTGCAGTTCTACTGCAAATACATTAACACTTACAAATATATTCATGATTCCCGTGTGGGTCTCAGAAGAAAACCCTTGAGGTGAATTTCTGTTGGTGGTAGGGTCTCCCGAAAGGTTTAACCAATTTAGTTTACCTCCTCTGGAATCCGAACATCCACCCACATGTTTATAACGCATGGCAACCTGTGAAGGGTAGGATAGGATTCTAGTAATTAAGTGCACATTGTTTGTGCCTTATATTAGTATAGACAGGAGTCCCATCCAGGGTAAATAAGTTGATCTGTTATGGATAAGAACAAAAGACATGCTGAATGAGTGTTGTGGATAGTCTTAGGGATGGTATATGAGTATATTACCCATAAAACCGTGGCATTAGATTTATGTCTGTTTAGAAGTCTCTTTATGTTAGTTCATGAAAGGTCGGTTCAGTACCACATATTACTGACTCTAGTATGGAAAATTTTAATTCCTAAATCTCAGATGAGAACTTAAAGAGGTCCTAAATTGAAGACTCTTCATTTACTAGGCCCTCGAGATATACAGATCCCTGTATGTGGTGAGAGGATCTCTCAGGAAAGATTATGTTTGTGTAGTTTACATTTTCTGGGATTCAGAAAAATCAATCCACACGTTTGAAGTGCATGTTGACTTATGAAGGGGAGTAAAGGATTCTGATGGTTGAGTGGTGTCGGGAATACTGCAACACACCACTTTGGCCATGAATTCCTGTAGATGGGTAGTCTTGGGATGGCACGTCCAGGATCTTTTGATAGGTCCTAGGGTAAAACTGAATACCAGTATCATTCTCAATGGGTGTTGTGGACAATATATCTGTTTGATGCTGGTGTTTGGGTATTTTGCCTATGAAACCCTGATGTGGCTTTAATGTGGCACTTTCTCTTGTAAGACTCCATGGTGGATAGAATAAGTGGATACTGAATATTTTTCTCTTTTTCATGAATAATAAACAAATGAAAATAATAATAAAAAATTCAATTCAAAAGCGATCATGATTGTATGAACCTGCTGTTCCAAAGTTAATATTTACTAAAATGTACCTCATTCTCTTATTCTTCATTCATTATTGGAAAAATCTCTTTTTATCATCCAAAAAAGATTAGAGGAGCTTGCTGGCTTTGCTAAATCAGTCAAGAAGTTATGATCTAGGAAAAGTTTGGTGGAAACATTCCAAGTATTGGACAGTGATCATCTCTTAAAATCAAAATCCATTGGAGATATATCTATTGAGGTTATTCCTCGTGCTACTTTGAATTTCTTAAGAGAAGTTATCATTGAGAGGGAGTTGCTTAACATTCCCAAGAAGGAAAGCCTCGCTGGTTTCTCCTGCCAAGGAGTTTCAACTGCCTAATGTATCTCGTCTTGAAAAGATGGAATAATGTGGTCTACCAGCATTCTTAATTGGACATTTACAGCACCATGTTTACCTGCCACTTTCAAGGAAGGTTATCTGAACTGCATATTGAGGCCCTATATTCCTAGTCTTCTACATTTTTTTCCACTGATGGTTAGGACACTCTTATTGAGGTACTTTGATCTGTGTTTGTTGTGGTGGCAAAGGCCGTGATAGATATGAGTATGAACAGGATTCACATTGTGTAAACTGCAATGTTTCCCACCACTCTACTTTCAGTTATGTCCTAAATGGATTTATCTGATTTGTTTTGAATTTCACTAAAAGTTGCTTGAAGGCTATCTGTGTTAGCTGTCCCTAATTTAGCAGTGATAGACTAGAGGGAAATCAGCTTGTGAAAACCACCCACTGTCAACTCTTGGACTACTCGTTTACAAATGAATAGTAGGATTGACCATCATATTATAATGCCCCCACGGCTAAAAGGGCAAGCGTGTTTCTTGGTAGGGATTTAAATTTACAACTCACAGATTGTAAGTCGAATATCCTAACCATTAGGTCCCTAAACGGATGGAGAAAGAAGTACAGTACTTAAGAGCTGTTAACAATATTTCTTATTATGAGGCACATAAGATGATAAATCCTCTTCCAAAATGTAATTATATGTTGCTGCACTATGCTCCACTAACAAACTTGGGATAAAGTCAGATCTCTCCATTCATCCAACAAAGTCATTATCTAACCATATTGTCTTCTGCCCTCCATGGATACTTAGTTGACAAGTCTACATATACTCTGATCTGTGTCTCTTCCACTGAAACCAGTGACTCTTCTCCATTGGCCCTGGGGTGCAGGATTATTATTTGGTCATACACTTGTTATCTTGAACCTCATCCTTTTGATGCTAACCTGCGCTATTAAGCAAGTGTACGGACCAGGGAGGTTTATTTACCTCTTTCTAGTAAACAGAAATGTTGTAATTGTAAACAAAAAGACTTGCCATCTAGCATTCTTGCTACTTCTAAGTAAAAATGACCTCTCTGATACAGTGGAACTGTCGAGGTGTTCTTTCTAGTTTAAATTAGATTAAGGTTTTGATGGATTCTTACTATCCTGCGTTTTTATTCTTAGAGGAAAAAATCTTGAGATCTTTTTTAATCATAAGAAGGTGTATGACACTACGTGAATCTTTCGTAGCATACTGGATCGCTATTCCTATGGTTTTTGAGGCCATTTGCCCACTTTTATTTGAAACTTTTAAATGACAGGTCATTCCAATTCCATGTGGGATCAACATTGGTTCAATTCTTCACACAGGAACCTGGAATCCTTTAGTATTACGATCAATGATATCACTGAACAACTTCCTCCTATAGTTGCAAACAGCCGGTATATTGATGGCTTTCAGTTTTCTTTTTCGTCATCAAATATGAGGTTTATTGAATAGCAACTTCAGACTTCTCTCACTCACTTGTTGCAGTGGGCTACAACATATGGTTTCACATTCTCATAATCTAAAAATTTGTGTATTATTTTCACCAGCAGGAATTTCAGCCTGCTCCAGAGCTCTGTCTTGGTGGACTTCTCTTTGACCACAAGCTGATATTTATTTCTCACATTAAGCAGCTTTGTCTTCTTCCACCTCTTGGGGAGTGAATAGGTTTTCTATGATGAAGATCTATTGTACCCTCATCCAATCAAAACTAGACTATGGATCTCTGGTCTATAGTTCAGTCAGGAACTCTGCCTTCAAATTATTGGATTCTGTATATTATCAGGGACTTCATCTCTGCATGGGGGCTTTACACACTTCTCTGGTTCACTGTTTATATACTGTGTCTTATGAACCGCTTCTTCACCCCAAATGTTTGCATCTTTCTTTATAGTGTGCTTCAAACCTCTGCTCCTTACTTTAACATCTCATCTGCCATTGTGTCTTCATGCCTTGGTGAGCTGTACTTTTTACAAACAGTTGTCTTCGCATCCAGGCACAATTAAATGAATTAGTGTGACATTGGATGATATTGATGAATCTGATGATCAGTCTATCCTGCCATGGCTTATTACCATTCCCACTTATGGCCTTTCTTTGAGCCATCTGATGAGGTTTGTTACTCCTGGTTGGAAGTACCATCTTCTTTTTAATGAATACCTATCAAACCATTTTTCTGTGTCATTTTTATGGATGGTTCGAAAGCTGATAACTCTGTTGGCTCTGTTTTGCAGCGGCTTTGTAGTTGTTCGCAGATCCCCTCTACAGATTCTGTGTTTATTACTGAGTTATATGCCATTTCACTTCTTCTGGATCATCTTGAAGCTAAGCAGTATATTAACTGTGTGAACTATATGGACTTGCTTAGCTCTTTAAAGGCTCTGGAGTCATTTGATGTAACTCCTATCTCAGTTCCCTTGGATATCCAGAAATGACTAGCCCATTTTTTTTTCTTATCCTTCCCTATTCAGTTTTTATGGATTCCTGATCATGTTGGTGTTTGTGAGAATGAGGATGATTATACTACAGCTAAATCCATCTGCTCTGGCAACGTCACAGCCCTACCTGTTCCTTATGTGGACTTCAGGTGTGTCACTAAGGTGAAGCTTCATGGCAGTTGGCAGTTTTTATGGAGTGAGCAACATCACAACAAATTTTCCTGATAAAGCCTGTTGTTGTTGTTTGCTATCTAGTCTGTGTACGAATCAGAGAGAGTAAGTTGTCTAGTCTAGTCTTCACATTGGTCACAGTTTTTTTACTCACAGATTTCTTTTACAATGGACTGATCTGCCGATTGCTCACATTATACTTTTGTGTTGTTGCTACGATTGCAAAAATTAGCATAATTTATCATTTTAGTCATATTTTTTCTCGTGGTTTATCTTTGATGTTGGATAGTGCCATTGGCAACAATGACAATGTCCAGATTTATTTTGTTTTTAGCATTTTACGGGCCAATAGCCTTTTCAAATGTTTAATTTTTGAACCTTGTTTGTACAAAACACAACGTTGATTTTTTTTCTATTATACTCTTTTTAAATAATTTGTATTGCTTTTTGGTGGTTTTATTTTTTTTGTCTGATTTTTGATCGAAATGCTTGGTGCATGTAGCTATGGTATTTTGACCCATAAACCCACAACCATCCAACCAACAAACTTTTATCACATATTCTCAGATTTTTAATCTTCATTTTCAGAGAAAAACTTTGGAATAAAATGCAAATATTCTGTGTGCAAAGGGGCTTAAGGGAGCTTACTTGCTCCTCTTAGGTTTTTTTTGTTGGAATTTCGTGCAAAACTACATGAGGGCTATCTGCGCTAGCCGTCCATAATTTAGCAGTGAAAGACTAAAGGGAAGGCAGCTAGTCATCATAACCCACCGCCAACTCTTGGGCTACTCTTTTACCAATGAATAGTGGGATTGTTATAACGCTGAAAAGGGCGAGCATGTTTGGTGGGACGGAGATTCAAACCCACGACTCTCAGATTGCGAGTCAAGCGCCCTAACCACCTGGCCATGCCTGGCCGTAAGACGTTTTAATCTAAAAATTACAGTGTAAGACACAAATCTCCTTTTTTGCTTACCATAGCCTATCTTCTTGATAGTGTAGAAAAGGCTCAAGACCAAGATATTACAGTTGTCAAATGGATACTTGTGCACAAAAATTGGAAATATATGCTAACTAAAATTGTTTCTTTTATTGTTCCTGTCTACAAGATGGTTATTTGAGTTGTCTTATACGTGCTTATACTCTCATTCCAACCCAATGTCTGACCACAAGTGACATGGTCCTTCCAGGAATTCCTGTCATAGATCTCCCACTTGTGTCCACTATTTTTGTAAAGGCCACTAGTGCGGTAATTGAAATGGTGAGCTATTATATTTTACTTATCAGATTTCCTGCCCCTCTTGTTCACAATCGTGTTTTAATAAAAGAATGAGAAGGAAGTTCAGTATATTAAAATTGTATAATATCATTATTTACACAGATGTATATCTATTGGTATCACTAGCGTTAAAGCTATGCTTCCGCCTTTTCCAAAAGAATACAGGCATTTATATCTGTTTCATACGTTTAATCTTTTTCACATACTTTAATGCCTTATCTGCTCCTAAAGCCACCTGTTGACAAAGTATTTTACTTCAAAGTTCTCAGGTTTCTCAATATCACTGCTTGTGAACATTTTATGGTGTAAGTGGCTATATTTGGCTTTTAACATTTAGCACATTTTATATTGAAGTTTATCAATCTACCAAGGAAATAATGGGCCCTGAATACGATAGATAGAAGAATAAACCAATAAAGATTGTTCCTACCTATAACAACTAATACTCCTAGATAAAAATGGCTTCTTTTTTTGTGTAACTATTTAGGATTGACACTGTTATATATTAATTGAATCTCTTAATCAATTTTTACCACTCTTATCGCCTTCTAGCTACGTATGTACCTATGATCTGGGCAGATAAATGGTGGTGCCCACTGGTGAGGAATTTGCTAAACTTGCTTGTAACTGTAACGTGTATTGTAAGTTACATTCAAAAGAAAAAAACCAAGCCCTCTTAAATTTAAAAGAAATATTGCTTTAGTTCTAAAGTCTTCAAGCGATAGAAAACAAGTTACTGGTGGCAGACATGCAGATTTAGCTATAGATGTGCGATTTGATGGACAAGGCCATGAACCAACGCCTTGTATAGTAAGTCAGAAAAACAAATGACCAGTGTGCGAAAAATATGAACTACGCCTTCCTTACAGTCGAAGAATTCCATGTTTCAAGATTTATCATACCAAAGAATGTTTCCAAGCTCAGTATTTGCGACTATTATTGCAAAACAATTCATTTTTGCAAGGCCTGTGTTTTCTAACAAGTCATCAGTTTGTGTAATGTTTTATTATAAAATTAATGAAATACAAGTAATTTTTCTTTTATGATTTCGGTAATCTTTATGACCTGTTAGTTTAATATCCGTAAGGGAACATCTATATAATTTCAAAAGGAAAAAAAGGAAATTTATTTCGAGACTGAAAAAAAAGTATCCTTAGCTAATAATATGTCTTCTCTGAAAGTAATGTAAAAAAGTAAATAATTAAACTTGATAATTGTTCTATTTCAATCTGTAAATGTAATTGTGACACAGTAACGCCTTGTCTTCTTATGTAAATATTATGATGATTGCAGAGTAAAGCTACCGAAATATGTAGTCTTTTTAATTTTGGCTGTCGACCAAATAATATTTTATTGTGCATTTTATCTTGTTTTTATTTTTAAGAATTACAGTTATATATTTCATTAACCACTTGTTTAACTAATGTACTAGTTAAGCAATATAACACGTCCTGATCATAGTTTCATAATCTTGGGACTCTCACTTCTTCGGTCGCTTACAACGCACTAATCATTATTATATCTCTCTTTATAATATTAATAATACGATATATAAAAACCTAACTGTAACACTTACAATTGTGATTCTAGTACAATCGGTAAACAGACATAAAAGAGTTTAAAAATGGTATTAAAAAGTGACTATCAGCTTATACTTAGAAATGTATTTTAACAGGAGATTATGAATTTACCTGTAACACACCAACCATCAGCGGTGATTGTTTCTGATGTTATTTTAGGATTATTCAGATAACCTTTCATCACCTGTTCTCCTCGTACATAAATCTCACCACATTCGTTTGGACCCAGAGTTGCACCAGTGGTGACGTCTATCACCTGTAAAGCAAACTAGATATTATACACATTAATCAACTGGTTATTACACTGTTAGAATTGACAATGGTGAGTTTATTTACCTTGATATTAACAATACATTGTTATTGGCATAAGTTTTACTGTGGTTTCAAAATACACGTACTAGAAGAAAAGTCACAAACTGCTTTTCGTATTAAGGTTAAAGTATTATGATTTTGGTGGTTTCTGTTTGGATATTGAATTTAGAAAACCCTATGTTTTTACATGATTTGATGAAAAATTAAAACGAATTTCAGAATATAACAGCCTCACAAGCCTCAAACTTTGGAAAAGACAAATTTCGTTCTTACAGAAGGAGTTATATAAAGATATGGAATGTTTTAAAAGTATTCAATTTGAAAGTCTTTTTTTTTTATTTAAATTATTATAACATGAATTATTTCACCAACTGCTTCATTGCTCCTTGGTTATAGTAACATACCTTTTAGATATTACACAGTGTTTATTTCACTTCTCAGTATTACGAACCTTTAATTCATTTGAAGAAAATAACTTTCCAACAGAATTAGGAAGAACACTTCCTTTCTCCACAATAGAGAGAATCATCGTCTCACTCAAACCGTACACTAAACATAAGAACAAAAAGATAATTTGGATCGTTATTTTCATGCTTCTGTTGAATGTATGGTTTATATGACAACTATTTGATTTTTAATAAAAATAATAATTTTTTTCTTTACATCCTCAATCAAACAAAAGTAATAGAAAATACTATATATTTAACAAAATGTGATGATGTTAGCATAGAACGCCAATGGAACATGATGTCTTTTAGAGCTGTGCCCTGTTTCTAAAAGGTACGTTTATTGTGTAACTACTTAACGTTGTATATTTATAATATTCATATTTATTTGAACGGCCCATTAATTCAGAAAATATGTTAAGACTGTTAAGGTTTAACTATTCTTATATATATATATATATATAACACAAGTAGCTTCAATACTTTTATTTACATTAATTGTTAATAAGCGATTAAAATCAGCACTCTAAAACAATAATGAACTTAATATAAAATAAGCATTAAGAAGTTTTTAGAAAAATCCATTGTTAATCCCAGTCCTTAACATAAATTCATAACGGATAAAGCCTGTTGTAACAGCTCCCAAATGCGTTGGGGATATCCAATCTACCAGACAAAATCCAAACGCTGATGTTAAACTAGCCAGCAAGCATGGAAAATAAATTAAAGGTATGGAGTTGAGTGCTTACACCCACAACGTCTCAACTTGTACTGTCTGCAGCCAGTTGTGGGAAAGCAGTTACCGTTTAAAGTTCTTATTATTCCTAAAGTAGAAATAAACCCACTCTAATATTTCTATTATATGCAACTCCCAACCCCCCGCCCTTGCAAAATATAAAAAAGAAATAAAAGATTTTGAGTATAATGATCTTAAATAGAATTACAAAAGCCCTACCGAAATATTTCTTACATAGTTCTTACTCCCAACCTCCTCCCTTTAAGATAATTTTATTTAACTACAAATCCCTATTCTGAATCCACCAAATGTAATTATAGATAACAGCATGGAGTCAAAATAGGGAGTTGTAGCTTGAGTAACTAATGTCTAAAGTATTTCCATCCTTGTATGCTTACCTTGTTCACTATCTCTACTTGCAAGTTTTTAAGTTCCATTTTTTTGTATCTTGTGTCTTAAATCTTAAGCTTGTTTGTTTACTTTTTTGTGACTGCATTTACACTTTAAGCTAGCAATCTTGTTTCTGTATTTTTTACAGTCCCTATTCCCCTTTTTAAATTAACAAATTTTAATAATGTTATTATATTGCATACTTCTTTGTATAAAAAAATGTAGACGTTTAAATATGTATGATTTTGGAGGTGTAAAGTTATTTTTCATTACTGATTAAGGTAGGAAATTAAGAGCATGTTCCATGTGCGATAATATGTGTTTTTATTGGTTCAGATTACTTGTTATGTTACTAGTTAAGGCAAAAATAGGTTTATAATATCGGTCTTCCAATTGCAGTCAACAGTACAGTATCATAATAACTTTAAGTTACCATGTTTATTGAGCAACTGTAAAATATATTCATCACGTGTTATATTAGAAGAACTTATAAAGAGAGCTTGAATGCCACTTGTTAAACTGACAGAGTTATGAAACAGTAATGATGCATAAGTACTACAAGTCTTAATCGACTCTTTGAAGGGTGTCGCTGTTAAACTCTCTAGAGATAGAGTAATAGTTAAGTATAATTGATAAAAAGTAAAATAAGATACATCTCTGTAGCAGTTTATCACCAACAAATGAGTATCTTGTTCTACCAAATATCTTTTTTTACAAACTTTTTATATATACAGTATTTCATAATTGATAAACTGTTTATCTCTTACTCTGTCGAACACTTTTCAAGAACGGGAACTTTTTCATAATAACCTCTTCGTTCGCTTCTCGGTTTAAAGGTGCTGCTCCTGTTATAATCTCCTTGACACTAGTGAGATCGAAATCTTGAACTTTCTGGTCCATTAGTAGTTTATAGACTAAAGCAACTGTGGCAAAAACAGTTGTTGGCTGGAAAAGAAAATATCCTTAATAAATCCATGGTTGACAAAAGGTAGAATATCTCAATGTTTTACAACTAACACAGTTGTAAGATCAGAAATCCTTTATTTATTTATTTTCAACATGAACTGCACTTTATTTAAAACATGTTAAACGACTACGTCATAGATCCCTAACTTATAGAGCAGAAATCCCTAATTTAGAATTTTTGACTAGAAGGTGGGCAACCATTTAATAACATCTACTGCATATCCTTAAGCTACTCTTAAATTACTTTACGCGCTTTATAATCGTATGAAGCACGCACTATTTCACTGAATTATTTAACATTTATTAAATATATTTATATGAACATTTTCCCCATATAAACTCATGATTACCAAAGTGAGCTAAACAAAACGGAGCTTTGAACTGCGATCATCAGGTTGCAAATCGAACGCACTAACTACGAGACCTGTATGAATGAAGTAATGTTAATAACACAGCTAATTTCAATTACTCCTTCACATGTTTAGCCAACATTTCAAACAAACCAGAAATTTTATAGCATACCGCCCGTTCTTACCACATAACTAGCTGTAGGAGAATACATCCCCCTAGCCAATGTAGCTTGGTGACTGGACTATAAACATGTAGCTTTCACACTGAGTTTTCAACTTTTACTGTAAAAAAAGGCTCAGTTTACTTCTTCTCTTGGAATTACTCTTGTAACCATCTTCATAAAATACAATCAATCTCACAATTTATTTTAATGAACCGAACATGAACATGCTAGCCCTTTCAACCGTGTGGGTGTTATAATGTGATAGCAAGTCCCACTGTTCGTTGGTAAAAGAGTAGCCCAAGAGGTGGCAGTGGGTGGTGTTGACTATCTTCCTTCCTTTTGGTCTATCACTTATAAATTAGGGACGGTTAGCAGACACAACCCTCCAGTTGCTTTACGCGAAATTCACGACAAACAATCACTCAAACAACAACCAAGAATGAAAAACAGCTTCCAAACATGTGGGGTTTCGGTTAAAGATTTCTTGGCAATGGCCAATAAAAATCATCAGCAATTATTTTTGGTCATATTTTTTGTTAGATGAGATGGCTGCCTGTATAGAACAAATGTAATTGAGTGTCATAATGCACTACCAATGAAACATTCACCACTCGTGCTCTTACCTGGAACATTACGAACACAGGTAGTGCTAAAATCTAATGGATTCTTAAAGACAGAATTAAATAACCATCAGAAGGTAGCGCTGAAATCTAGTGAATTTTTAAAGACATAATTATATAACCATCAGATCGTCACCAGTATTCATCGTGAAAAAGGAGGAAGAGACAAATTCTGAAGTAACCTTAATAAAGTAATGAACATTCCCACATCATTGTATAGATAATTACCTGGATATTTCAGATAGTTCCCTCCGAGTTCAGCGCGTGGTTTGACTGAAATTTAGGCACACGCTAATATACAAAGTTTCAGAATTCTTTGGACAGAGAGTTGGTATGGACAGTGTATCAACAGATCTAACTACGGGCGAAGCAGTAAAAGCCTACAAACCAGTAGTAAAGGGGAGATTTTCTTGTTTTAACATAGTTGTACTATTGACAATTTTAGCTGGTAACGCAGAAAGTCTCTATAGATATCAAAGCAAGAGTTAGCTTATTCAAACAAGGCCATATTGTCCACTTCTATGGAATACAGATGCCACTGATAATGAGATCAGAGCTCTATTAACAGACGTACAACGAAAGTCATAGCGTATGCAAATTCTTAGCATACGTAATTGCAGTGAAGAGAGAACTACTTCTAATTGTAGTACGTGTTACAAACTTCTAACACTATGTATATGTGAGCTCATCACTGGAGTAGGCCATGTAATATGAAAGAGGCTTGTTATCTTTAAAGAACTGGAAGAGATGATTACACATTGGAATATACGTTTGTCCAATAAAACAGGAGAGTAGAACAATTCCCATTCTCTGATTTATGATATAAAGCTGCGAAAGCTGCTCCACTGACAAATACATATAGCAGCTATAAATAAATAGCTATCAAGGAGCAAGAAAAAACGAGACAAACACAGTGTAGTGGAAGCACAAAGAAGCTAAAGCGTAATCTTAATAAATTATGTGTGCGATTATAGGTATTAAATGGAGTGATCTAATGCAAATTTAGCCCACGTTCACATTCTGCAATGAAGCTGAGGCAGATGAAAAAGTTACATTACAAATTAGGAGAATTAAAGGTCACCAATGAGTGTCATAAACAATTGTCAGCCTACAGAAGTGGCGAAAACTTCGTGTTATTAATCTGAGTTGATGTTGAAATACATTGTTCAGACTTACATGTTAGTGCTTGCAGACTGACTGGAATTATAACTTGTCTTATAAAAAATAAAGTGACAGATTACTGATCTTTTTAACATTTGGCCGAGATATTGTATTTCATGTGGATTTAATGTATAGTATTCAGTAACTGCATATCTCATAAGTTTTCACTGGATTATTTAGAGATGTTACAAACCATTATTGGCCAGGCATGGCCAGGTGGTTAGGACGCTCGACTCGCAATCTGCGGGTTGCGGGTTCGTATCCCCATCCCACC